TCAAATTAGAAATTATTTAATACATTGACATAGAAATTTAGAAAGTAAATATTGTATATCGGTTAAATTTTTAAAAACTGATATACAATGCATTGAAATATTATAAAATGATACTTATTACTTTACCCTTAGTGGCTGGCTCTTGCATATAAATATTACTCATGTTTGTAAGTCTCCTATAATAGAAAAAATCCTTCAGAGAAAACTTTATGATTCCATTTATTAAAATAAATTAAAATATATTAGGTGCACGTAATCAGAGTTAGTAAACTATTTGAGAAACTGTTCCATAATCATATATGGCGCTGATCGCAGGCGGTAAAATTTTTATTCGAACTGGATACTAGATATCAATTCGACAGTAGAAAATTAATAAATTAGTTTTTGTAATTAATTCATGAAAATTTATAGTTGCACAGCAAAGTTGGAATTATAGGCAACATTCTTATAGGATGTTTAATTTAATAATTAATACTTACATGAGCGATAGGTTTTGTATTTTCTGTAGTAAATAAGATTACTGTAGAAAAGTATTTTTCTTGCATAATGTTCTTATTATTTTGTAATAAATATATACTTGCATAAGAAAGCGTAAAAAATACATTTTTTTATTAAGAAATTTTATTTACAATTGTTTATTTACAATGTTTTCATAGATGAAAAATGAACACAAAATAAAAATCGATTGAGAAAACTACCAATCAATTGGACGAGAATCGAACCTCGGTCTTTCATCATAGAAATTCTCGACTATTGTCGATAAGCCACCACTTCACTTGCGAAGTGGTAGAAATAAATCTATAATTAAGGCAGTAATAAAACTTTAATCGTAAATATCTCAAAAATTATTAAGTAGTTGCCGCTATAATTATATATTTTCTTAAACTGCATGGCGATATCTACAAATCTGCAAAGTTTCAACTAAATCGGCGACCCGAAATACTTCGACTCTCCTTGTTAGCCAAATTCAAGTGCACGTGCACTCGATGAATATTCAAAGTCGATTTTCTTGAAAACGAAGCTTCGAATGAAAAAATTTTATTCTTTCTTTTCAATTCGTTTCTGTATGTAGAATCACTCCCTTCCTGGTTGTAATACCGTTGCTATGTTACCTTGAATAATTAACATTCACGGTAAATAATTACAAGTATAATTATATGTACATACTTATGTCAGTTATACCTATTTATATCATCCATGCCACTTCTACTTCTTGCTATATTTTTTTTAATTCTTGTGACATCTGTAATTTAGATAATAAAATAATGTTTCTATTTAATTTTATTTTCTATATTGTGTATATTTACATGATTTCATAAATTATGAATTTTGCGTCGAGCTTCCTCTATTAAGCAGCTAAACTTCAACGCGATTTTGTGTAAAATTTTTGATCTTTATTTTCAACAATTTCTATATTGGATGTTCTTCGTATTCCACAACATGCATCTTTCTATATAAATTGAAATTAGTTCTACAATTTAATTTTTTTGCCAAGCTTTTATAGTCAACATTTTTTCATACTTACGGAAAGGTACTCTCAGCACTTGGATATCATTTTGTATTCTGTCAGCAACTAGCCGAGAACAATTTGTTATTGTGTCCATTCGCGAACAAATGACGGCACACTAACTCGCAGACAGTTGAACGATGCTCTGACAGCACTCTCAGTCTCCACTGGAGAAACACTTTTGAGAGCAACTCGTTATAATTTTACTCTCAAGTTGATACGTAGCTATAGGAATGGTTGTGAGCTGCCATCTGTTAGCAATTCCTTTTACGTGGAAGTCATTTCGCTTCAGATAGGACGTTGGAATATCGTATCATAGTGGCAGTAACTGGTAGAGGATCATTTACTTTCTAAAACTATTATCTGTTAATGTTACTTTGTGATAAACTTTATTACACAAAGTGTTAAAATTTGTGTTACAATCCCTCGTGACGTGTTTGGAATGTGCAATTATATTTTACTTTAATACGCAGCAGGATTAAAAATTGTGGTATGTATTCAAAAATTCAAGTATTTATTTAAAATATACTAATTTTTATTAATCAGATTTTAAATGAGAGAAATTTAAAAATGAGGAATATTATTAGGTACAATTATACAAACAAGCAGTTAGTAGAATGTAAAAAAATGTACGATAAATGACAAAAAGAAATATCAGACAATTTAATGTATTAAGTGAAAAAGGAAAAGAGTGAGAACAAAAGATTATATACATATGTAAAAATATTTACCGAAATTATTTGTCGAATTTATATTAATAAAGCAAAATATAAAATATGACATATGATATTAATACCATAATTTTTTTTAGATAAACATGTGCTCATTAGTTGTCAGTGGTGTAAAACAAATGGTCAATAATTATTTTGAAGGCAAAGAACCATGGCAAATAGTAACTATGACAAGTTCAACAGTTCTTACCTCTATTTGGTTATGGAATTTTATTTTTCAAGATGAAAGTATGAGAGTATTATTTTAATAAAAACTTGTATCAGAAATTTTATGAGAAACTAAAAATTTTGTTTTTTAGGTCTTGTAGAAAGAGCAAAGAAAAGCTTCTTTAATTTAATGACTTATATACCTGCTGTTAGAGAGAAAATTGATCAGGAATTAAATAATATTAGTCGATCATTTGAACAAGAAACATTGCAAAGATTAAAGTCAGTACCTTTTGTTGTAAAATTACCAGAAAAAGGATTGAAACCAGAAGAAATATTAAAAAGGGTAAAAGAATGTGTACAATTAGGTAAAAACTAGAAAATATGAGAAAAAACAATATCTTATATAGAGTGAATATGTATATAATATTATTTTTTAGGTGATTATGATTGGGAAAGTGGCAAAGTATCTGGAGCTATATATAGGGTCGATACTAATCTTTTACAATTAATGGGAGATATTTATACTATTGCATCATATACAAATCCATTACATCCAGATGTTTTTCCTGGTATTTGTAAAATGGAAGCAGAAGTAGTTAGAATAGCTTGCAATTTGTTTCACGGAGACGAAGAATCTTGTGGCACTGTAAGTTATTTTTATACTTAAGTATTAATATATAAATTAAAATAACTTTAAATAATGTTTCAAGATGACCAGTGGTGGTACAGAATCAATTTTGTTGGCATGTAAAACATATAGAGATTATGCAGTACATATGAAAGGTATAAAAAGTCCAGAAATAATCCTACCTGTAACAGCACATTCCGCTTTTGATAAAGCTGCTCAGTACTTAAAACTTAAAGTACGGTCTGTACCTGTCAATGAACATAGCTATACTGTTTGTATTAAGTCTATGGAAAAATTTATTACAAAAAATACAATAATGGTGAGCACATAACTTTAATATTGACATTGAAACGAATATATTAGAATTAATGTGATATTTATAATAGTTAGTAGGATCATCACCAAACTTCCCCTATGGAACAATGGATAACATTGAAGCAATTTCTGACCTAGGAGTAAAGTACAATATTCCTGTTCACGTTGATGCTTGCCTTGGTGGATTTTTAATTTGCTTCATGCAAGATGCAGGTTTTAATGTACCACCTTTTGACTTTAGACTTCCTGGTGTTACAAGTATATCAACTGATACACATAAGGTATATAAATAATAATACAATTAAACACATAATTTTATTTAAGTTTTTTAATATTGTAATTTTCAATTTTAGTATGCATATGCTCCAAAGGGTTCTTCACTTATTCTATACAGGAATAAAAAATTGAGACATTGCCAGTACACCATAACAACTGATTGGCCTGGTGGTATTTATGGTTCCCCAACTGTAAGCGGTTCGAGAGCTGGTGGAATTATAGCATCGTGTTGGGCTACATTGATGTATTTTGGTTACAATGAATATTTAGAATCAACAAAGAAAATTATAGAAACTACCAAATACATTGAACAGAAGTACATATTTAATTTTATTATTAAATTTTTTATGCTGCATAACTAAATATTTGAAACCAATATTTAATTGTAGATTGAGAAACTTAGATGGAATTTTTATTTTTGGTACACCAGCTACTTCAGTTATTGCATTGGGATCAAATGATTTTCATATTTATAAATTATTGGAAGCTCTAAATGCAAAAGGATGGCACTTAAATACACTTCAATTTCCTTATGGCATACATCTTTGTATTACATATGTTCACACACAATTTGGTGTAGCAGATCAATTTTTAAGCGATGTTGAAACTGAACTAAATGTAATCTTAAACAAGCCAATGGCGCCTGTCGAAGGAAAGGTAAATATGGCTATTAAATGCAATTGTTATAAATATAGTACAAAAGTAACAAATATCTTTTTTTAGCTTGCTATTTATGGAATGAGTCAAAGTATACCAGACAGAAGTATTGTTGGTGATATTGCAAAGTATTTCTTAGATTCTATGTATTATACACCACAAATTGAACAAATTAGTAATGGTCCAAATATCTAAATGCACAATTATGTTATTTTTATAAAGTTAATTACAAGAGTAAAGATAGAAATGATTGAAGAACGAAGAGCAATAATGTTGATCTTGTGAGTTCTTCGATATAAGTTGAGTTGCAAAATTTAGTTATCATATATTCTGAAAGGTTGAACTTAGAAAATAAGGTTAAATAGAGTACATATAGTGTTATACAGCGGAAGAGATTTAATACGCATAAATGAAATATTTAACAGATATTTTGTATAGTATAATAATATTTTTAACTATTTAAACACAATTTTTACAGTACAAAAGTTTATTCTAATCAAGATGTCTTTTTTAACAGTATTTTTACACGTTTCCTGAAATGTATACACACGTATCATCTATTTTTATCAAATCTGTATGTACAATTTTTTTGGTACTTTTCATAGAATAATATGTAAAGATATTTATCTGCTATATATTTTATACATCATTATTATGTTTGTTCCAATCCTAAATATTCATAAAATAAAAATGTATTAAATGTTATTTAATAATAATATTATTATTAATAATAACGATATATAATTAGGTGCCATACATTTTTATATACTTGGCAATGAAATTATTGAAAATAAAAAATTTAGATAATATACTAAATTACTTTAATCTTGTGGCACTGTAAGTTATTTTTATACTTAAGTATTAATATATAAATTAAAATAACTTTAAATAATGTTTCAAGATGACCAGTGGTGGTACAGAATCAATTTTGTTGGCGTGTAAAACATATAGAGATTATGCAGTACATATGAAAGGTATAAAAAGTCCAGAAATAATCCTACCTGTAACAGCACATTCCGCTTTTGATAAAGCTGCTCAGTACTTAAAACTTAAAGTACGGTCTGTACCTGTCAATGAACATAGCTATACTGTTTGTATTAAGTCTATGGAAAAATTTATTACAAAAAATACAATAATGGTGAGCACATAACTTTAATATTGACATTGAAACGAATATATTAGAATTAATGTGATATTTATAATAGTTAGTAGGATCATCACCAAACTTCCCCTATGGAACAATGGATAACATTGAAGCAATTTCTGACCTAGGAGTAAAGTACAATATTCCTGTTCACGTTGATGCTTGCCTTGGTGGATTTTTAATTTGCTTCATGCAAGATGCAGGTTTTAATGTACCACCTTTTGACTTTAGACTTCCTGGTGTTACAAGTATATCAACTGATACACATAAGGTATATAAATAATAATACAATTAAACACATAATTTTATTTAAGTTTTTTAATATTGTAATTTTCAATTTTAGTATGCATATGCTCCAAAGGGTTCTTCACTTATTCTATACAGGAATAAAAAATTGAGACATTGCCAGTACACCATAACAACTGATTGGCCTGGTGGTATTTATGGTTCCCCAACTGTAAGCGGTTCGAGAGCTGGTGGAATTATAGCATCGTGTTGGGCTACATTGATGTATTTTGGTTACAATGAATATTTAGAATCAACAAAGAAAATTATAGAAACTACCAAATACATTGAACAGAAGTACATATTTAATTTTATTATTAAATTTTTTATGCTGCATAACTAAATATTTGAAACCAATATTTAATTGTAGATTGAGAAACTTAGATGGAATTTTTATTTTTGGTACACCAGCTACTTCAGTTATTGCATTGGGATCAAATGATTTTCATATTTATAAATTATTGGAAGCTCTAAATGCAAAAGGATGGCACTTAAATACACTTCAATTTCCTTATGGCATACATCTTTGTATTACATATGTTCACACACAATTTGGTGTAGCAGATCAATTTTTAAGCGATGTTGAAACTGAACTAAATGTAATCTTAAACAAGCCAATGGCGCCTGTCGAAGGAAAGGTAAATATGGCTATTAAATGCAATTGTTATAAATATAGTACAAAAGTAACAAATATCTTTTTTTAGCTTGCTATTTATGGAATGAGTCAAAGTATACCAGACAGAAGTATTGTTGGTGATATTGCAAAGTATTTCTTAGATTCTATGTATTATACACCACAAATTGAACAAATTAGTAATGGTCCAAATATCTAAATGCACAATTATGTTATTTTTATAAAGTTAATTACAAGAGTAAAGATAGAAATGATTGAAGAACGAAGAGCAATAATGTTGATCTTGTGAGTTCTTCGATATAAGTTGAGTTGCAAAATTTAGTTATCATATATTCTGAAAGGTTGAACTTAGAAAATAAGGTTAAATAGAGTACATATAGTGTTATACAGCGGAAGAGATTTAATACGCATAAATGAAATATTTAACAGATATTTTGTATAGTATAATAATATTTTTAACTATTTAAACACAATTTTTACAGTACAAAAGTTTATTCTAATCAAGATGTCTTTTTTAACAGTATTTTTACACGTTTCCTGAAATGTATACACACGTATCATCTATTTTTATCAAATCTGTATGTACAATTTTTTTGGTACTTTTCATAGAATAATATGTAAAGATATTTATCTGCTATATATTTTATACATCATTATTATGTTTGTTCCAATCCTAAATATTCATAAAATAAAAATGTATTAAATGTTATTTAATAATAATATTATTATTAATAATAACGATATATAATTAGGTGGCATACATTTTTATATACTTGGCAATGAAATTATTGAAAATAAAAAATTTAGATAATATACTAAATTACTTTACTTCCCTTTCACAAATGTATCAATCTTTAGTTTACATATAATTTACTTATTTTATACACTATAAAATGAGTATGAAAGTATATAGTATAATTTAGACATAAAGAAATAATACTTTTCTATTATTTCAATCATACTTTTACAAAGTTTCCACTGTTTATTAGAAATGTAAGGAAATGAAAGAACAATAAAGAGTACTACACATGATAAAATAACCAATGAAAAGATTATTTTGTTCAGAAAAAAGAAAGATTCTCTAATAATTTCCAAATCAAGTTTCCATTTTGAAAAAATCCCTCTGTATTTGTCTGAAAATAGTTTATAGTTTAATTGATTTATTAAATAAACTAATTATAGTCCACTTTAAATTAAATTATATTTGCCTTGAAAGTAATTGAAATCTGGATTCTTGATATGTAAAGAATGTTTAAATTAATAATAAGATATTACTGTTAGAAAATATTAAGGATCTAATAAAGTATATTTCTAATGGTGCATGAATTATGTGTAGATTTGTATCGCATATTCAAGATGAACAGACATTGGCAAAGTAGACAATTTAGTCTCTTAGCACGTTCATACGTGGAGGTATTAATATATGCTTCGGTATGAAGACAATTTTATCGAACTCGGAGAATAGTTATGGGGGCAAATACCAACACGATCTTTCGGATATTACCGACATTTTTATTCGTTCTCTCATCAATCCCCTTTCTTAACGAAATTAGCTGTTCGGTATCTTTGAAAGAATAATGTACAATGTACTACAATCGTTCGTAGTGAATATAAATGAATGTAATCATTCTTAGTGAATATTAAAGTACTCTTTAAATATAAAATATTCAGAAGATATACCGAAGTGTTGACAAATGAACCAGAGAAAATAAGAAAAAAGTGAGAAACTTCTATTTGCTCATCATAAGGTTGTAATATTTCATTTAAAAAATATGTAAAAATTTAGAAATTTGAAATTTGAAACAGGAAGTTTGAAACTTAACATTTGAAATTTGAAATTGAACATATGAAGCTTCCAACTTGAAATATAAAATTATAACCTTGAATTTTGAAATTAAAAATTTGCAATTTAAAATTTCAATTTGAAAGAAATTGTTTTTATGTCTTTTTTTATGTCATTAGCACTGAGCCTTTTTTTGAATTAAGGATGAACGAACGATGAACAAATATTCACCTGTGTTCAGCAGTATAGTTACCGTGCTGACACAGTTTTGCAGGAAACAGTGATTTACATAAATTAAGGAAGGCCCTAGTGGTAAACCAAATTCAGTTCATTTACGAATAACCCAAATAGCATGAATATACAGGAAATGGTCACGGATCTGCGATATCATGCTGAAATCGACAAAGCACTATCATTAATGTCGCGAGTGATCATTTTGGAATAACGCCAGTTCCTTGGACATTGAGAAGGAATTCAAATCTCGAGATATAAAGTAATCAAAACTATACTTAAAAATATCAGGATCTCGCTTAGGTAAGTACTTACGAAAAATGTATTTAATTCGAATTATTTTTTGAAAATTCCATATTTTTAATTTATTACTATTGATTATTAACGTGTTGATTAATATGGAAAATAATTGTAGAAAAGTTTCTTTGAATTTAGGTTAGGTTTAGGTAAGTACTTACGAAAAATTGTATTTAATTCAAATTATTTTTTGAAAATTCTATATTTTTAATTTATTATTGTTGATTATGAACATATTGATTCATAAGGAAAATAATTATGGAAGGGTTTCTTTGAATAATATATTATATTGAATAATATATTTTCTCGTGCAGAAAAGTGCAGTTGAATGTGCTTGATTTGCGTATAAATAAATACGAATTATTTGTTTAAACAGTTTCTTTCTGCATTAAAGTTATTCCATTAAAATCTTGTACAGATTCAATAGACAGCAAAATCGAATTTTGAAATTCAAGATTGATGTTAAAATGTAGGTGTCATTTACATGAATTAATTAATTCTGTCATAATTTTTAATTCATTGATTTACTATTACATATTTTTAATCTATTATATTATATTTATTGTTTATTAATTAATTTTATATACATATAAATTATATTATAAAAAATTATATTAAATTTTAATGTTATATATAGTATAATTGTAATTATATATTATATAACACTATTATTATATCGTATTATCATATTAATATATTAACATGCTATAATACAATTATATATTATATATTTTAGGTAATAAGAATTATAGTCAATAAAAAAATTTAATCTCAGTTCGTAAATATTTTTAATGCTATTATAAATTTCATTAGACTTAACCATTGTCTACTGAGAGGGTGTGTGTGTCGACCCATTGTACAGAGCGTAATAGATATTTTTTCGCAGAATGTTATAAGATCTAAAGAGCTTTTTTCAGCGATCAATTTCAATTTATTTCAGTATTTTGTTTTTCACTTTAGAGTGAAGATCATAGCAATTAAAAGAAAATAAGCGCAGATTTATCACACCCTTAATCGAGATTTTATTTCTATTACTAAACTATTACTTATATCAATTATGATAATATAATTTCCTTAAGCCTATTTTCAATCTTCGATTGTAAGTTGATGGTAAATAGCGAAGTTCACGGTAAAAATATGTTTCTTATTATTTTACTTTCTTTACATTTTTATTATTTCTCATATTAACAAAATTCCATGAATTTTAAAATTCAAAGTTTTTTACTTCCGCAGTCTCAAAAGATAAGCATTTGAAATAAATGTCACACGCAAATGGTAATCATTTTTTCTACCAATCTTTAAAAGCAGATATTACATTTTTTGGGGCGAAATATGTCTAAATGATTTTTTATACTACAATCAAAACAGGAATTGTTAATTTCAAAAGAACATCGTTCATATAGCCAAAGCTTCCACGACTTTGCTATTTTACGATCGCAATTATTAAAAGGTTTGGTAATGAACAGGTTTCGAAAAACAAATTCCCCAGATTAAATAGTATACTGTTAAATAATCACTTTTCTATTGGTTCTGGATCAATAGAGCGTTCGCCTAATAACTTCTCCTTCATAACAATTTTCGAGTTCATTGCAGTACTTCCTCTCCATTTGAAAGATAAATAGCGCTTGACTTATCGTAAATGTACTACCAGTAATTAAACGTTATCCATCTATTACTTATCTTGTTCTGTACATGTAGTTACAAAAATATTCGGACGTTAAACTTGCAATAAAGACAAAAAGATCAACAAATTCTTGGTTATTATAGAAGAAAAGTAATTATTAACGAAATCGGCAACGACCGTGATTTTCTGTTGACCTCCGATATATTTTTATCGATACTGCTTGATTGGCAAATATAAAGAATAACAGATGTTATTTTATTCTAAAATATATATTTATTACATATTAGATTTTGAGTACATGTAAACTTTGCGTTGTAGTAAAAACTAAATAGTAAAATAAACTCTACATCCTAGCGATATGGGGGTGGTTCCTTTCTCTGTGTTTTGCCTTTTGTCCGTTTTGCGCGTGTCTTTTGTTTCCCGTTTTCTCGAGACGTCCTGTGACCTGCGTGGCCCTAAACAGACAGGTCAGTTCTAACCGTTCGGTCGTTTAACCCTTTGACTACCACGCCGAAATCACATGTTTCCCTCAGGACGCAGTGGGAGTGCACCGCTAGATGCAAGATTCGTTCTAATATATTCTTGATGTTCTAATAAAAATTTTTAATCGTTCAATGGGGCACTTTTTATTTCAAAGTATCTCCTAATTAGCGGACATATTCAAAATACACTAATTGTCAATTTTCATTCAATGTAATTCAATGTAGTTCAAGTAGTTCAAGCGCTCCGGTCACCAATGACCATCATGGCGTCACAGGAGAAACCGTGGCCGGTCATATATGACCAACGTGGCAGTCAAAGTGGTAAAGGACTGTCTCAAGACAGCCCTCGCACCCTCATTTAACATTAGAACTAGCAACCCAGTCAAAATGACTGGTCCCAGAATTTTCCTTCTTGCAATCACCGAACACATACACCTGCTTTAAGAATAAAATTGGTATCAACTCATATTAAAAAAGAACTGTAATCAATTTATTCATATTCATGGTATCGCTGAAATTACCATAATCCGTGCACGTTATAGTTAGGTACCCATTAACTCGCGTGTTTGATATTTCATTCCCTATATTTATGGGAATTTGGAAATATTAGAGTCTGTTAAATGAAATATCTTAGTGTCGCGACAGTAGAGTTTTAGTATACCGAATCGAAGTAACCTTTTGTAAGACACGAATTGTAATAAAGTGTCAGTAGAGTCACTTTAACTTAATTCGTTCCAAGTTAGGTTAGGGTATCTTTGATACAGGTAGCGCCACTAGGGCGC